ATATATATATATATATATATATATATAATTTCTTTTTTAATTGCATATATTACCAGATATATTTACATACATATGTGTATATTTCGCTGTTTTTACTGCATATCAACATCACAGCCCTAGTCATTACAAGTCAGCAACATTTCACCTAACAATTTTTAGCCATCTTCAGTCTTCTGATTTAAAGAGAGACATGATTTTACTTTAGAATATTGGATAATAAACAGAAATCTTTTTAAATTACTTTTAACTACACATCAAAAGTCAATAAAATTTAGAAACTTCTGTATTATATTCATTATTTGCAGATTAAGTAGACAGAAGCATTATTTTATTAGTAATTAAGTTACTATGCAACAATTTTAAAACTTAGAATAAAACCTACGATAACTTGAATCGCTGTGAGAAGTGGATATATTGAAGCTGATTCAGTTTGTTAAACACATTAGTGTAAGACAACTGGAGTCAGTTATGACTAAATGTATTTTAAATGTCTAAAAAGGGGGAGAGAAAAAAAAAAGGGATTGTCTCAATGACATTTAGTGCCCTAGGGAACGTCTTTAAATAAAAAAGGCACTGGTTTTTATTAATAGTAATATAGACGAAAAAGAAGAAGACAACGAAGAATTTATTGAACATATTAATGAAATACTGTAGATTGAAAATTCACTTCAATAATAACTTTATAGCATTTAAATACATAGAAAAAATATTCAAGGATAAATTATTCTTTCCTACAGATTTTCATATTGTTACAAAAATTTAAAAATATTTACATCAGTGAAGTCCTTGAACACTACAAAATATAAAATTTTAAACTACAAGCTCACAGTCTACTAAAAAAAAAGCTTAAACATACCCTATCCATCTTTTCCTTGGCTTGTTTCTTGAACTGATGAAAGCTATCCATTGCAGATTTTAAGGTAGATGTATTAGGCCCAGAAGAATTTTGAGGGGATGATGCTTGTGCAAGGGATGACCAAGAACTTGCATTCTTGACATTCTGTAAGAGAATTAATAATTACAATTTATTCTAGAAATAATACATGTTCAAATTTTTCATTCACCAATTGAATATAAGAATATATTGAATAAGGGATATATTTTGAATGTTCATATTCAAACAAATTACTGTAATACTAAAATGATTCTCACCTTGTTTTTGAAGGCAGAAGCAAAGTTTGCAGCAGATGTTTTAGTAGATTCTGGTGGTGTCATTTTCTTTTCTACTGGCATAGTATTATTTATTAATCCTAAAACATAATTTTTAAAAAATTAAGAAAAAACTATTAAAATTGTTTGTTTACAATGAAATATCACACATCAATAATAACAAAGAAATAATTTCAGCTTTTGCAATAATAATAATAATAATAATAATAATAATAATAATAATAATAATAATAATGAAGAGGAGGGAGGAAATGTGTAGGAAGAAAACCATTTTTTTTTTCATTCACTATTCACTGTCTCTTGTTCTTTTTCCTCTACCTACTTGGACCATCACCAGATGTTTGTTCCCCCAAGATTTTCACTAAACAAATCAATGATATGATAGTTGTACTAATATGAATCATAAATATTATAAACTTCTCTGCATATAATAAGTCACAAGTCCATTCACAGTAAATATTATTGGAATTTGTGGAGCAAACTTAGTAATTTATAATATGCAAATCATTAAACTCAAGAGAAGGTAACAATTAACATAATACATGTTTTCATTTAGTGAATTCAAGAACGTGGGATGTCGATGATCTGAACTAATTGGAACCAGGTACAGTGCAGACATTCGATAATTCGGATAACTGAACATAAAAATGGCAGTGTGAATAAATTGCTATGTACAAAGAGAGAACTCTTTAAGAGAACATACCATTAAAATACTGCACTGCAAATGCAAAACCCTGTAGATAATAAATATTTAACATAATTTACGATCGGATGTTTGACAATGCAGTTAGTTCTCTTGTACTTAAAAGTGGTGACAAGTGTTTTACAGAAGCATTTATTGTAGGATTTATCAAAGTTCACTGAAGCCAGATGATTGACTACAGTACAGTACCTCTATATTATTTTATCACTGTCAATCATATCAGGAATCATTCTCAACATTCAGTAATTCAAAAGAAAATGAACATGTATAGTATACGGTACCTAAGTGAAACAATAATTATTCAGAGAAAATATGAAATCAGATATTTGATGAATCGGATGAGTGACGTTCGGATAATCAACGTCCCACTGTACGTGATCCGTTGCAAATGTTAATCATTGTCATAAATTCAGAATAAATAAAGCTGGCAACAATACAAAGTCATAACACTTAACACATTATGATGTATCAGTAGTTTCATTTAACTAATTTTCTCCCATAAGTACAGGGAACCTCCTTCCAAGTTCATAATAATATTTCCATTTACTAACTCACTATTTTATGTATTAAAAAAATTATCTTTAAATAAGATCATGTACCATTTTTTTTGGAGAAAAATAAAAGTAGTTTTCACGCAATTTCTGGTTGGTGATATTTACAAAAAACAATTCTCAAAAATGACTCATACTTTTTCTTTAAATTGTTTCTTTGAAGAGAATAAAGGTCATTTAAAATACGGCGCAACTGATTTACATTTAAATTTCTGAATTTTTCGAAATTGCAAATGTTAGAAACCCACGAGAAAGTGTGCTGTTCTACAGTTTACCACTAGTTCTGTATATGTACTACAACACATACTATTTATAATAACGAACTGTACCAGTCATAACAGACAGTTTATAATAAATAAATAAATTAAGAACACAAAACACAAGAAACTTTGGTAAGTTCATGTCTGATTATAATGAAAATGGTAGTTTATGCAGAGCGATTTTTTTTTTTTTTTTAAGAATGAGCCAAAGTGACAGTTTGCTAAACAATTGAACGTCACATGTAATTCAGAGAAGTATCCCTCCGCTGCAGCAGCTGTTTAGCCTCGCCTCTTCGTAAAGTGTTTGTTTACGGCTCATGTGATGATAAACAAAAGTCTATGAGTTTCGCCTATGTATATGCACGTACGCGAGTCCGGGAGATATTGAAATATAATTATGTACGTGGGAAAATGTCTTGTGGCGCACTATATTTTCGTTGGACGAGGACATCCGAAATGGAAGCGTCTAAGCCATTTACAAGTTAGCCAACTGCGAACGAACGAATGGAGGACAGAGTCAAATAGGCTCAAAAACACAACGATCATAGAACCTTCAGTTGTGTTGCCACACTAGCTGTCAAAACGGTCCATTCTTATAAAAATCGCTCTATAATATTAGTTTATAATGCTAAGCTTCTTGCTCAAGTACATCCGGAGCAGGTTTTCATATTTGTACAAATGCAATAAAACAACATTATAAACCAGTTCCATTTTTTGTATAACAGCATTATAAATTTATAAGGTAATTTAACTTAGTTTTTGCAAAATAAATTTCTTGTGACATCTTGGGTTCTTTACAATTGTGCGAGAAAACTGTCAGCTGTTCCGTTTACCTTTACCTCGCCAAGATTTCTCACTGCAATGGGCTGCACGTGTGATAATGCAATCATTTGTGCCATAAAATGCACAATTATGAACAATTTCTTTCAATAGAAAAGGTTGTTTATAACGCTGATATATCAAAAAACCCATTTTTCTGTCATTTAAATTGTGTATTGCTTTATTAGTAAATGCGTTATTATTATGCACTTACCATCAGTAACAGGCTTGTTCACTGTCTGTGGAACAGATGTAATAGGTGGTTTCTCCTCTTTTTTAACAACATGAGTTGCAATGCTTGTGGGTGCAAGACTTGTTGCAGGAAGAGGATCAAATATTGAAGGTACTCCAGTAGTAATAGGGGCTGGAGGTCCATTATTATATACTCCACCTCCAGGACTAGATGACTCCAATTTGATAGGTTGCTGTACAGCTGTAATTGCAGGATGGCTTGCAATATGTGGAAAACCATTACTTGTGTGCTGCTGTGGTGGCACCACAGTTGGTTGTGGAGGATGTGCAGGTGGCTGCGTTGGGGGTTGCTGCAACTGCTGCTGTTGGGGTAGAGGAGGCAAGGATGGTGGAGAGGAATTCATAGACAAATCAAACCCAGGATGCATTGCAATAGGCGGGTTGATAACACTGGCAGTTGTAGGTGGAAACTGAACCATTGTGTTGGGTGGTGAAGCAACAGGAGGTATGGACAAAGGAGGTGCAGCAGGAAGGCTGGCGGGCTTGCTAGCAAAATCTGGACCTGAAACAGGAGCTGGAGTAGTAGCTGGGGTTGGAGCAGCAGCAGGAGCACTAGAATTTGGAACAGTGGATGCAGAAGTAGCAGCAGCAGACCCAGCAGGAGATGCAGGTTCCTTTTTCACAGAAGCAGCTTCAGCCACTGCAAAAAGATAATAATATCTAGTCAAAACTGCAATGAATCATGAGACTTATACTGCAGTGCTAAGCACAAAAATCATATCTGCCTTTTATTTATTTATTTTTTGCCAACTTGAATTTTTGTTTATGTGTGCCTCTCTGTAATTTGTTGTACCAAAGCTAACAAGGGAAATAACAGAGCCATCATGTTGAAACAACACAAAATTTTGATGACACTTGTGATATGTAGATCGTGGAATTTTAGGAACAAAAAAGCGATGTTTTAGGCACTTAAAATAGGTTACAAAATGATTAAGTCACACATTTAAAAATATTACAAATTAAAAATTCTGGCTTCCAAAGCCGATCACAAAAGGATTAAATTAATCACTTTTTATTATTCAGGAAAGTCAAGTACTTTTACATTAATGTGAGCGACTACACATATATTATTTCATTCACTTTCATAATTAGCAGCACAGTATATAATTAAGACTTTCCCCAAATTTTCTTCAGAAAGGCAGCATCTTACTTGAAAAAATCATTTAGAAAGATGAAAGGGATCTTTCCACTGACACAGAAGTTACAGGAGCAAACTTAAATTTATTCACATTTTTCATGCCCACTCTTCTAGATCTTCGCTACACCCCGTCAAAACTTGTACAACACAACCCATTGCACCTTATCCAGGATTTTTATTTTCCACTTGCACTCTACTTTGTCCCCAAAGACTCTCTTAGCAGCACTAATTTTCACTTCGGTGTCTTGCACTGACACTTAATGCATCAAAAGTTTTCCTCTACGTTTCAGGTTGGCTTTTCTTTAGAGCAGGAAACAAAAATTTGTATTTTGCTGGACCGTATATTGTAAGCTTCTTCTTTCTGACAGTAGGCTTTTGCCTGATCTGTGCCTTTCCTCTCCTAGATTGCGTAGACTTATGCACCACGGCGATAAGCCTCAATCTTTCATCAGCGAAGCAACTGTCAACGAGTGCAACTGCCTAAGAAGGGCGTGCTGATTGGAAACGATTACTTGTTTTATGCAAAAAATATTTAAATTATCATCAATCACCCTTTTAGGACATTTAAGGCACTATTAGATGCTTTCAGTAGCTCTATTTTTCCATGTTTCATAAACATTTGCACTTATTTCTCACAATCTCCTAAATGAAATACAATAAAACTTACTAAACTTATATGTTTTCAGGGGACTGAAGGGAAAAATGAATAAGAAAAACGCCTAATTGAAATTGATGATTCTGAGCAAAAAAAAAAAACTTAATATTTTTGCACTATCGTTTTATCAATGGTTTAGCAATAGCTACCCCTTTTTTATTGCTACTCTCGCTAACAACTTTTAAAATCTTTTATTGTATCTGATATCGAAAAACCTGTTCCTACCAGACTTTTTTGTTAGAAAGCACACACAGTAGGGACCTTACTGATGACGTTGAGCGACTCAGTTTCACTGTGGAAACCGGCCGTGTCCTGTGTGGGCCACAACTGGCAGCAGCGACCTGCAGCTGGTTGTTTCAGTTTCAATCTTGATGTTAATTGAGATTCATAGCACAGTGTTCTACTGTCACAGCCCCACAATCTAGCGACACCTGCTTTGCCGTGCTAGGTGGAAAAGTGATCAGTTTCACTAGTTGCTTGTGCCATGCCTCTATTGAAAGGATGTATTTTGTTGTTATGGCGGCAAAAGGACCTTTCGAGAGTAGGACAAACAGTGCACAAACTTTCTCATTTTTTGGTCATCTACATTGTTACCATCTTCTGGGGATGCCTATGACCTTCCCTTGGAGCTAGCCGTTGCCTGCTGAGATCCTCAGAGAACTCTTGTACGCACCCAACTCTGAAATCATTCCGCTGCAAAAGGTGAGCCGAGAGCAGACTTTCGACTACCATCTCACGGGCTCCTCAGCTAAGCCAAGTTAAGCTTCTAATTTTCCAAGTTTCATTAGCGGGAAGTAGCCTCAGAGGACAAGGAACTGGTCACTCTGCGGGAGTGCTTTGGAGTGTGCCGACTCTAGTAACATACAAGTTTCCGAATTCTCAGTGCTGGTTGCCTCGCATCTCACCAGGATCATTTAAACCTTCTATGGTCTTAAAGCAACTTTTATTATGAATGTGTAAGTGTGAAAAAAGGAATAAACGTAAAATGCATAACTGAAATAATTTAGCATAAGGAATTTATCCGGGACTTACCAAAAACAAACAACAGTAAAAACATAAAAAATGCATAAACAAAGTTTCATTATAAAAAGGCTTTTGACCTAAAATCCAAGGTTTAGTGATGAACCAGAAACTCTTACACAAAAAATTAGCAGCCAGTTTCCACTGCCAGGCCTCCAAATAAAATATAGAAAAACACTTATAAGGACAAGGGAAAAGAGGCCTCTACTGGTCTGTTTAGGCAGCTCATTGCATTGAATGTCCACAGAGCAAGTTGTTTTAAATCCTGGTGACAGTCGAGTTTGTCTCGAGTTATTTGCATAAGAAAGGTTTATCACCTACAGGAAGATGTAATGAAAAATAATAACAAATGGGTCAATGCATTATTGATAGAAAAAAATTGCACATTGTGAATAACTGTGATACCAACTACAATAAGCCACCGAAGGATATGGACAAGTGTTCATTATTACAATGAAGGTACCAAATTCACAGAAAAAGTGATTCAAAAATGTCAGTCCCCTTGTCAAATCTACAGATTTGGTTTATTTTCCAAGCCCTGAGAAAAATGTAAACGAAAATGTTAGCATTGGCTACAAGAAAAAACTGTGGAATTCTGGTCGATTAAGAACAGTAAAAAATTATTTTCAATATCACATCCCTTTCTTTGTGAAAGAAGCAAACTGTGAAAATAAAAAATCTAAAAAGACCACAAATCCTACAAAAAAATTAAAAAATATAAGCAAGTTGTATAACAAAAATGCAAGTACTCTTGCAAGAAAGAACAAATCGGAATGGGAATTTTGAAGATTCACAACAGGGAACCCTGGAAATATCAGAAAGACTTGGCAGTGAAAATATGAATTTTTTTGCCTCTCACGTCTGAATCAATCATTCTAAAAATCATACAAAATTTCACGTTACTTACCATCTTCTGTGTAAAACAAGAAATAAAAATGGATTTGAGCATGAAACGTAAACAAAACAGGACTTTACCTTCCAAACGAATGTTTCAAGCTAAAAGCAACTGGTAATGGTACAAAATCAGGAATTATAGGAAAGTGTTGAAGCAGTGGTTTAAAGAAGCATTCTAACCATTTGCAACTGAAATTTTTTCTGTTTTTAAATTCATGGATTATATACAATGATAAAACATGTATTGAATATATCCCTCCAGACAAGACTTGAATTGCTCCTGATTCCTCTCGAAACTACAGGAAATATTCAACCACTTGATAAGTTCTGACAATGGAAAGCCATTTATCGCTGCTGAATGCATCTCACATTATTATAAAAAATGTTTCTAATAGACACACAATTCTTCAATTACAATCCTTCTTTTCCAGTTTTCATTGCCATTTTCCAAGATAAAATGATTTTGTGTTGCTACCAGGAACCAGATAGAAATGCCTCCTGAATCAGTATTGCCCATTGAATATCACCTTAACACTACGAAAAATCAATATGAAGAAGAATGTAAGAATGAAGTATTTATTAGTTATGCATGGTACCAAAAACATATGTTTTAATAATGAAATAGAAACCAGTCATTTCTATTAGTTATTCATGCCGCACTAACTTGCAATGAGAGACTATTCCTGGCTTTCGCCTGCCTGCTAGTCTAGTGGCTCACCAGCTCTGTTGCCTGTCTATCCGGCTACTTAATGATAGAGGGCAGTGGCACAGTGGCACTCTTGAGACTTCAATACTATGTAACACTCTAGCTTCAATTTTGGAGCCTTACTGTGGGAAATGCAGCTCATTTTTTAGATAATGGCTTTTTATAGTGCAATGTTTATGTCACCAAAATTTTGAAGGAGGTTTTGTCATAAAGGCTCTGATACTTCCTTTCTGAGGTTCAATGTCGAATTACAAATGAGAAATATTTAAAAAAATATCTTATACTAAACTGGTATCTGCTCTTGTTAAGTAGATTTCTAAGGTTATTAGGTTGTAAGTGACAAAATAGTAAGCATCTGAAGTGATATCGTCTGAATATATTTATCAAGTATTTGTAGAACAATAACGGAATCAATAAGTTGGAGGCCCACTATGAAGTATTGCCATCTTTAAACCCCAATTTCACACTTTTAATTCAGTTGCGGATTGGATCTACATGTTAATGGGATCAGTGTGACATATACAAACAAAGATATTATGCAACTTGCAATGAACGAGCATTGTGGGATAGTATTCCGGAAAGTTTAGAGAAATTTACTATTCACAGACTTATACCAGTGTAAAACATCTGTTATTCCTTATCATCATAAATAATCATTATTCATCGTCGTTCATTGGCTGTGCCACCTGATGTTGGCTATGAGAACACTGACTTAAGTCTGAAATATGCTCCAAAAAGTTTCCTACTATTGATGTTATCCATAGTATGATTTATTTAGTGGTGCATCTGGCAAGTATAACCTGTTGACAGTTTCATCTAATTGCGAGCTTATTTGATGCTACAGTGACAACTCTATGATAACGTTCAAACTCCCAATTGTATGTGAACCATGAACAGTTGGTTTTCTTCAAACCCACAATTAAATAAATCCAAGTATATTTTCGGTAACTAAAACATGCCTGCCCAATTCTGGAATTATCAGGAATTGCACATTTTCAACACTGGACTGCACAGGCAAAGTAGATATTTGCTATTTACTTATGTTTTATTGGCTGAAAAAGTGAATTACTAGCATACTTACATTTATTAAACACAATCATCTATTAAACAGCTCTGTTTGTCTCAACCGCTGTTCTAGTGTGCATTACAGGTTGTATAATACTAATGTGATTGTAAATGCCACTCACTTCCCACTCTGTACTCCTAAGAGGTGAATTTCACCAAGCATTTTTTCCTCCATTGTAGTATTAGAGTTTATCAATTTTTGTCAAATCGCTTCGTGTTCAAGAGGAACACACACACTCACTTTTATACAGATCCATCTATGTTGTGCTATATAAAGATTTTCAAGGTTTGCATTTCTGAAGCAAACTTCCTTTGCCTACGAGGCATAGTATTACTTATTAAAGGAAGTTGATTATACTACCATAAACAATAATATTTTTTGAAAAGCTGAAGCTTATTTATTAATTAGTTTTGAAAGAAATGTTTTATACAAACATTATAGGAAACTTTTTGTCTTTTAATTCGATTTTTTTTACAGTACTTAAGGCTGAAGAGCAATAGAGAATACAAACACATAATAATAATAATAATAATAATAATAATAATAATAATAAACCTAACTGGTTTTTCAAGTCTTCTGGAGTTATCACAGGGTCTGGGAGGTTGAATACTTTGATGTTTAACTAGTACCTGGATACATACATCCCAAAGGAAGTTGTTGCTTTTTGTATTCCAGCATTATACACAATCTTTTATGTTATCACTAAATCAAATTACATCATACAGCACAGATTGTGATGCATTTACCATTTATGGCCTGAATAGTTGTGTCATTCAGTCACATGTAGTGAGAAAATCGTGGGGAAGTAGCAATAATTGAACAGCCAACCACCACTTTTCGCATACATGTCAAATTCCCTTGATGTCACAATGAAGTTCTATTTAAAAATGCCTTCAATCCTCTTGTAAATTTATAATGCTATTATACCAGAAAAAGTATGCAACTCTTTCATAATGCTGTCTTATTACATTCGTCCAAATTTGAAAACTTTTCTCCTAACATTGCTCATTTTCAGAACATGTACCAATGCAATAAAGCTTAATATTATAAACTTGTTGCATAATAAACTTTTCCCATGAAAATCCTACTTGCTGATTGAATTATTAGCACAGCAGTAGAAAGAAGAGAGAGAAGAGGAGAGAGAGAGGGAAGAGCAGAAGAGGGAGGAGAGAGAGAGAGGGAGGAGAGGAGAGAGAGGGGGAGGAGAGAGAGAGAGGGGAGGAGAGGAGAGAGGAGGGAGAAGAGGAGAGCGGAGGGAGAGAGAGGGAGAGAGAGAGAGGAGAGAAGGGAGGAGAAGAGAGAGAGAAGAGGGAGAGAGAGAAGAGGGAGAGAGAGAGAGGGAGGAGGAGAGGAGAGGGAGGAGAGAGAGAGGGAGAGGAGAGAGAGGGAGGGAGAGAGAGGAGAAGGGGAAGAGAGAGAGAGAAGGGAGGGAGGAGAGAGGAGGGAGGAGAGAGAGAGGGAGGAGAGAAAGAGGGAGGGAGAGAGAGAGAGAGAGAGGAGGAGAGAGAGAGGGAGAGGGAGAGAGGGAGGAGAGAGAGAGGGAGGAGAGGAGAGGGAGGAGAGAGGGAAGAGAGAGGGAGGAGAGAGAGAGAGAGAGAGACAGAGAGAGTGAGAGAGAGAGAGAGAGAGAGAGAGAGAGAGAGAGAGAGAGAGAGAGGAGAGAGAGTAGCAGGAGAGAAAATTGATAGTGTCTGAACGTTTTTATAAATGAAATTCAATATCAACTAAATACAACTGGATAAAATCAGCCTCACCTGCTTCCAGGATAAGGATATTTGGTTTGGATGTAGAAGAACCTTGGTGGACAGATTTCTTTACGAGTACTGCAGAAGAACCAGTGGAATGTACAGGATTAGGTAGTACAGGGTAAATGATAAAAGATGCATCTTTAACCATTACTGAAATTACAAAGACTGACGCTTTAAAAAGTCAAAAATTACTTAGAGAAGGTATGTAAAACTATGCATGTACAAGTAAAATTGCTTAAAATTAAGAATGAAGAGGAAAAAATAGAAAAAGAAAGTAAATATAAAGACCCATGAAAAGAAAACTTCTCACTTGCTATAGGCACTGGAATGCTTATTTACCAGGTTCAGAGGATCCAGCTTGTTTTCCCTGATGAACTCCACTAGGGACTGCGCTGTTTGTAACAGAAGCAGTAGCTTTTCGATTCACTGGCTGTGCACTGCCAGCCACTTGACTAGATGTCATAGTCAATGCTGGAACAGTACCTGCCACAGTTGAAACTATGCTGGGAGCAGAGGTAGGAGCAGCCAAGGTTGTGGCTGCTGGAGGAGTAGCTGCAAGTGGTTTCTGGAAGAACATAAATTCAACAATTTCTTTAAAAAAAGAAAAACTAATTACATGGATTAATAATTTGAAAAAAGGACAAATAATTCTTTCACTGACAATTAATAATTTACTTACCGCTTGATGGGCATTCTTTTTATTTTTCTTGCGAGGTGGTCTTCCATTCCGACCTATGAACAAAAATTACAATTCACCACACCACCCTCATCAAATTTAACGCTATACACTCCAAGTGTTGTCAATTAAGTACTATTCCTTAATATATAAGCTTTTGCTCCCTTGTATGACATGAAATTTCTTAATTTAGCAATTAATGAAGGTATTTTTCTGTTTATGTTTTTCTTAGAAATACCAATGTGGTTCAGTTAACACATGATTACAAATTATTCTTTGAGGTAAAATTAAACAAAGTGATAAATTCTTTATTTCCATGAATAAGGAATTAATTAGTTTAATTAACTTTCCCAAAATTAAAATCATCTTGCATTTCAAAACCTTCACCTAACCTTCCTGTGCACCGAATTTACTTGAATTCAGCCTAAATTCCAATGAAATTAAACCATTTATTACAGCAGTACTTCATTAAATCATTTAAAACTACAAAACCGAATATTTATTGAAGATAAACTTACCTGACACCAAGTTGAAAAGTACCTCTGATAGGACATCCAAATCACATCTCTTTCTTTCTTTCTGATATTTTTGAAGAAAATTAAAAGCAATGACAAGAAAGGAAGCTTGGAGAATGGGATGTTTATATAGAAATTAAAAGGAATTTACTGTTGGGGTAAAGGATTCATTACAAGAACAGGAAATATAACTAAAACCAAATGGGGGGAAAACTTTAGGACACTTTCACATTTCAAATTAAACGATTGTCACTGATTCTATTCTACTTACCTGCAAGACATGAGCAACTAAAATCACTAAGGAAACTACATTCACTTTACACAAGAAAGATAAATTGCTCAAATTAGGTATCTGCAAAAATTTTTCCTTTCAACCAAAAATATGGATTATTCTAGTTCCGGGCCCACCCACATCTTTTAACTTTCAAACTAATCTACAACTTACATGAAATTACAGAATAACAACAAGTTCTATAATATATAAAAGGACGTAAGTTCTCGGCATTGAGGCCATTATGGAAATATCTATTAAAATATTTATAGGACACGCAATAATTAGAAACCTAGAGGTTTTATGTACAACAACGAATACCAAATTTTCCATTCCACCTAATGAATAAAATTCACACAGCAGAGTGCAGAACGTGATATATGGGGTCAGGAGCTCAATGTTTACTAAAAGCAAACAAACTGATTACAATGGATTCTATATATTTATTTCATATTATTATTTTCACTGTGTACAACAAAGTTTCCTTTTTTATTGTATTCATAAAAAAAATTACAGACGGGAAATGCAGAACGACTACAAAAAGAACATCTGACGACACATGCGATATATTTGTTTCTTTTATAAAGAAGAATATAATTTATGTACAAAATTTCAGGGATGAAAAATGCTGGGGTTTCATCATCACATCACTTGTGCATCAACTGCACTTCATAAAGAATCCTGATACAAATTCAAATACCAGTTGTTGGTAAATGCAACAACATTCACCAGCTTAAATGTTGCTGCACTTCAAAAGTAGTAATGTGATAAAATATATCACTTTCCCACACCTTTGGTACAGATCAGCTCAAACAAAATACACGTTACAACACATTTGCAGTGAAGTACATATGCCAAAAAATCTGTTTGTTACAGTTTGAATGCTACTATACAATGACATGTTAATTGACAATTATTACTCTGAATTTTTCAAAGAGCCTAAAATATGTAAAATATGATGCGGATTTTAACACTATATCAATGTAGCCATTCATGGGCTAAAAGATTGTTGCAGCAATGATAATGTGAGAAGTACTGTACTCTTAGGTGGGTTAAATTATATGGCATCAGAAACTTTGTAAATTGCACTTATAATACACTCTCACACAAACAAATAAATCTGGAGTCCAACATATTTCATAAAATAAAGCAAATAAAAAACAAGCAAGCTTTAAAATAATTCTCAAAGGAAGAAGGGCAACATCCAAATATATATAAGAGACACTAAGTAACATATATAAAATTAAGACAAGTAATTGCTACTAATAAAGTTGGTTGGACTTCAGCTCTCAATACTTGCACTTCATTTAACACAAGGCACACTTACTAATTTCAGATATACTACTCACATGTAATACTTAATACAGCAAATATTCACAAAGTAAAAACGAGTCCACTGTTTCTCAGAAAACGTTCATCAAATATACAAACACAACAACAATGAAACTTCCACTTGCAGAAATTGTGAAAATCCAGTTGTTCATTCATAAAATTCTTACACATTGTAAAGAAAACTCAAAATACTTGAAACACAATGTTTAACCAGTACTGCCTCAAAGTATTCTCAAATCCAGAGAAAGATACACAATGATAATAAATATCATTCTTTTGTTTAATGTATTTTACTCCTTTTGTTTATTTGCTAAATACACTATTCATAATTTCTTATTTACTTTTAATACATATATATATATCTCACAATATGCAGCAAATGACCTGCACCAAAAGCAGAATGAACTATATTTTTTTTTGAGTATTTTTAAGTATACAAGCTCACTTGTTTAATTTTTTACATTAAAACATAGCGTATTTCAAGACTTTTTAAAAGATAAATACAATTTTCATTGCTAAATTGCCAACTTTTATCTGTCTGACAATGACATTAAGTGTTTACTTAACCAAAATTACTACATTCACTTTGACTGGAACAAATAATTTATTAACAACAATGAGGCATTAAAATATAAGTATAAATTAAAAGAATTATTTAATCACAATACAGATGCCATTGCAATGGTTTCTTTCTGAAAGAAGCCAGGGAGTGCAAACAATGTGCTTGGAGGCCAGCAAGCCAGTTCTTATGAAAAGAAATTTTCAAGTGTCTGCCTTTCAAATAACTTAATTGCTATGTGTGGTGTAGTAAACATTAAGAATACTGCACATAAATTTTGAATTGCCCACAGTTACAATTATTTTTTAGAACATAAAATTTCTTCAATAGTAAAAATAAAAATAAAAAAAATTGGCGAATGAACGAAAGTTAGATAAATACATAAATGTAACGTACCACCTAAATCGTAATGGTTTTCTCAAATACCTTGAACAAAGGGACTACTAATTACAAATTAGAATACGCAACAGGACAGAAAATGTATTATTCCTGGAACGTAACATTTAAAAAACAAACAAAAACAATGAAAAGCTTTTTCAAACAAGAGATTCCACTTATGATTTTTACACTGTTCCAATTTCAATTTTTATTTTATGCCATAGAAAAGATGACTTTGTGCCCAGCATGCTAAATATATTAAAATAACATACATTCACATGCATCATAATGAGGGCCTAAATGCAGGTCTATTTATAACTACATGATAAGTCACAAAACATTATCATTCATAATCGGCCAATGTTGGAACTCTAGCAAATGTTTTATAAAAGCATGTTAGTGGAGGTGGAAACACTCTTGGCAAGAAATAAAATAGAAATATCAATAGAAAGGAAATCATCAATTTATCTTTCCTGTCGATTTGACAAATATCAGAGTTTAAATACGTGAAAATCCAAGGTACTACTATGGGCTTCCTACTAATGACTATCTCTAAACATACACGTTTCAAGATTTTGAATGCAGAAATAAAATTTTCGCGCACACCATATATAAATGTGTAACACTTCAATTAGATTGTGATCGCATGCACTGTTAAAAACTAAGCACACTGGAATACTGCATGGTCTTTCTGTAAACTGCTTCCGAAAATTATAAGATACAATGAGTATAAACATTCAAACGTGCAATGTCCTTTTGAAAACAACGCTTTATTTCTACTAATGAAAAATTCAATTCTCTTTAAAATGTGTAATAATAATAATAATATTGAGAAGAAAACTGAGTAATAAAGAAAGAAACAACTATCTGTATATACTGTGGCTTATTTACAAAAACACACAATTCAAAATTTTTCCTCAGAAGATTTGTACTCTGTATAAAATTTTTAATAAAGGATTAATACCACGGAACATTGTCTTCCAGTGCAGTATGTAGGAAAAGTTGTAAACCTCCTTATGCAATGTCCATCATCTAGCCACCATTCACATTGTCTGCATTGCACAGAATCAAATGACCAAACATGTCAAAAGATGGTATGCCCATCAATTACTGGTTTAGTTAGAACTGTCAGCAATACTTCCATGCACAAACAAGTTATAGACTCTAAAACATCAGCCTTAAATATTCACATCCACCAGCATTTTTCATCATTTACCATATGCAGGGAACATTTTTAAATAAAATAATAATAAAAAAATTTGTTAAAAAAAAAGTCACAGGCATCACTGCCTGAGAATTCAACTCAAGGAACATATATATAGGTGTCAAGTAAAATCTACCAACAGCTGGCTGACCCCAAAAAACACATTCTGCACTCTTGGCTGGTAATCATACACATATTTAAAAACCATGTTACACACACTCCACATCCAATCTACGGAAATCAATGTGACAGTGATGTTTATTTACCTTCATTTTCAATATTTGTACCATCAAAATATTGTGGGGAAAAAATTACATATTATACAACTAAATGGGATAAAAGAAAAGAATTGCATAAAACATAAAACAGATTCACTCTTCTTTGTGTTTTAAATAACAAGCCAATTGTATATTCTACAAGAAACGCACCAGGCCTCTCCAAGATGTTCAAAGAGCCCACATGCCACTTCAAAGTTAAGTTGATATCACGAGAATAATTACAGTAATACTCTTACAAGAATTTGTGCAGAAATTTTTTTATACAAGCCCTATCTACCACTGTGCACTCTTGATGTCTACTTTAATGATGGTCATCATTTCTTATAATACTCCTCGTTATAAGGGTAGTAATTCATGCCAGCATTCTTAGTATTGGCACTAGTACTAGCACTTGAATATCACAACACTGTCTCATTCAAACCCATTATGAATCAAAACTTGTCTCTAATTGTAATATTCACAACCCAAACAGATGCAAGTAAATTGTCACCAACTGCTCACACTGCAAAATTATTGAAATCAACACAAAACGAAGATACGGTTCCATTTTCACAGGACGCATCACCATAATGCCTGAGATTTAACCCTCGCAAAGCTTTCAATCCCCTAATTCTCTTTATGAAACATGTCGTCGGATATAGACTTCAAAAGGCGTTTAACATTTCTCTGAGGCTTTATCTCAGGGAAACCTATCTTCTCTGATTATGTTATCATACTGCTGTCTGCTTTCACTTCCTTATCCTACACAACTGGCACAGTGTTTAGACTTCTGCATTGCAGCAGAATTCAATAACAAATTCCGTTTTTCTACTAAGATACTGTTAGGCAGCTATATACAGAAGTGAAAGGTGCTCACGAGCATTGTCCACAGCTCTGGTGAAGTGAAATCCACACATCTCTACAGTGAACTCTTTTTCACCACTTTCACCATCTATCAACCTTTTTTGCGCGCATGTATGAATTAAGGAAGTACCTAACACAATCCAGGCAGCAGACAGACAGACAAAGGAATGAGCAAGTGAAAGTGATGCTTGTAGCAAATATCTAACCTGCTTCAGAATCACTTGAGTCGGATGTACTGCTGGAAAGACTCGAGCTGCTGGAATCGGAATCTGAACTGCTCGATGTTGAAGGAGAAAGATGAGGATGTCCACCTACAACATCAACTGACTTGTTCTCTTCTGTAATGAACACAATACAATAAATTAAACATAACATTGGCAGTTTAATTTTTTTAAAGATTTTTTACTATAACAATACAAAGTATTCAGTTACACTTTCAAAGCCATGAACTCACCTTTTTTAATAGCCTTTTTTGAAGTTCCAAGTTGACCAGTCACATCTTGTAGCCTTTTCTCTAGTTCTTGCTTCTTTTCAGCCATTTGTTCATCCTTGGATTTTCCTGAAAGTTTTTTGTCTGAAACATGAAGAGAAAGGCAACTCTATCCCTCTGTATAAAGATATGATATCTTGAGCAAGAACTGCTTCACCTTGAAACCAGCAATGAATTATACCTGTGAAGAAGACTTGGCAAATTATTGAATCACACGTTTTGTGTGGAATATGGAAAAGCTTTGCTGTTTTCTTCCAAATATGTCAAACTGAAGAGTGTAAATAAAATAAACCTACAAATATCAAACTACTACCAAGATTAAAAAAATGTACAATTTTCTCAATGATTTCAATTAATATGACAGTCTGGATCTCTTACTGAATTACTATGCTTTATTACATTAGCAATCAAACTTTTCACATTAAAGTCACGGAAGAGACATAACAACAACAATAATATAGCTGTTTAGATGGTCCAGATCGCAACGGCAGTAGTGCCTTAGTGGTTTTGGAGCAGAAAATCGTGGGTTTGAGTCCCGCCTCAAGCATTGGTGTATTTGTGTGTCTGTATGATTGTGTCATCCTTTCACCCCTCATTATTATCATCTTTCATCTTCCATACCCCCAGGGCTAAAAAACCTGGGGAACGAAAATCAGACTCATCTAAATGCTAGCCCTGCTTATTTTGAAAATATTTATTCATAGCAAGAATAATGGTCGTATTTGTGAATGTTGCTTTACTCCTCATTATCATCCTATCATTTTATAATTCACACTTCAAGGTGTAACAACCTAGTCATATGGAGTGATAATCCTGAAAAACTGATCCTGGAAAATTTACACACGTTAATGGTGTAGAACAGCCAGAGTGTAGAGGTAAACTGAAGAAAACATGTCACTTGTATATAACTATTATCAAATGAAACAAAAGCGAATTTTCACAACTGGTTCAGCTTGTATCATTTAATACTGACATTGTTAAAGATGAGGTTATAATAGCTAGGAGGGACTTGTGATACTGAGAATTATTATAGTATATAGTTTATTTAGCATTTTATTTATAAAGAAGAGGACATTTTTTATAAATTAGACAGACTTAACTAAAATATATATTTCTGGGTAATACTGAATTCAGCAGTAAACCTAAAAAATGAAGCTTTAAATTCTCCTTTTTCTACATTCCCAGTGCTCTTGCAGCTAAACATATCTTAATTCAAATCTTCCAATTTTTATGATGAGAAATTAGCAAACAATTTTAGTGTAAGTTTGCACAATCTTGTAAACTATGCCATGAATTATATAAATATGTAGAACTCAAAATGTCAAAGGTATTATTTATTGCATCCCACAGTCTTTCATTTTCTTTGCCATGAATCAATTTCAAAGCATCCAATGACAATTTTCATACTTTTTTTAAAAATTTTATTTGGCTTTCCCTTCTGAATTCTTTACATGGTTTTAGCTCCCAGTAATCCTGCTTGAAACCAACTCTCAAACTTATTTAAATTCAATTGTTTGAAAAGTTGCTTATTCATAATTTCAAAATTTGCTTTATTAGCCAAAAATACTTTCTTTTTCAATGTTATCCTATGTTATCTCCTATCAATTCTTGTCTTCTGGGTCTTTCTTCTTTGCAACATTCATGTTTTCCATTCTTAGCACAGCATATTCAAACCATCATATATTAACAATTAATTCTGGGTTCACAAGGTAAAAATTCTGAAGCCAAAAATCTTAGTTTGGAGAAATCCAGGGTTAGATTATTGAGCCCCTATTGATGAGCAGTATGAAGCTGATTTCCCAACACATTGAGTTTGGAAACTGAGATCAGCTGAATGTGGGGCGTAAATGCACAGGTTGTCATGATAGTCACTGGAGCTCCAGGATTTGTTCCGCAAAATTTGTGTAAGAACTTGGCTAAGTTCCCAAGGTCATTCAAAAGGCAGTGGAAGTGCAAGACATTGCTTGGTTTGGAACGGCCCCCATTTTGCAGTGTTGTAGAGGCACCAATAGGCCCTAGTTCTGCTCCTTATGTAGCTGGTTGCAACCTGGCGTAGTCTTCATAATCAACTTTTTTTTATGTCACTTAACCATCTCAGAAATGCCCTCCAACCTGTAGTACATGAGCAGTACACTGCCTGCAGGCACATCAGCTGAGAAATCATTTCAAGTTGTCATCTCAAACACACTGTACAAGTGCAAAGGGTTAATCATTTAAATACTACATATTCAGCTATTCGTGTAACCTATATCCAAGTTGATATAAGTTAAGAAGTTTAGTAGAGTACCAAGAATCGTTGTCCCTTGTCAATTATATAGAACAACTTCCTCTATGTTTATGCACTACATGCATTTGTATTACATTGCCCACTGGAATTGGCATGCAATATTAGAATTAGCTGGGACACTGAGAGGAGTAAAAGTAGTGGAAGAGGGAGAATGAAGAGGAGTACAAAAAGAAAGCCTTCAGTCCCTATTCTGATTTCTTTGGGTTTACTCAATTGTTAAGACTTACACCAGGATGGTCCGTAATTTCCGTTCCATTAAGTAAAAGTGAACTTCTGCCTTCCTCAATCTTAATTAAAAATAATGTAAATTCTTAACAAGGTTAGGGGGAAGAGCAGGACTGATGGCCTGAGCCTCATCATATAAATATTAATTAATTAAAAAATAAAATTAGCAAGAAGATAAAAGAAGTTAGTATAAAAGAAGCTATAGGTCAGTAGCCTGTACTAAGGATTTTGTATTACTCAAAAGACTCAGGAAGGAAGCCAGACTGCATCAAATGGTGACGACGATGGCAACAACAATGGATTCTATGATTATGAACTTGGGAGTTTGGAATGTTAGAAGCCTAACAGACAAAACAGTAGAACTAGAGAGCAAACTGAAGAAAAAACAAACAGAATTAGCAGTTTTATCTGCAACAGAAAAGAAGAGCAAGGGAGGTCAGGAGTTGGGAGAATATTTTCTAATTACTCAGGAGTACCTCCAAGAAAGAGAGTGATGTTAGTGCTTAAAAAATGAAAGAAAAACAATCTCATACACATGGATATCAGAGGGGATTGTGACGTTAAAGCTAAGGACAGCCAGACATCACCCGAATATTTTGGGAGCTTACGCTAAAGTGGAAGGAAAGAAATAAGAAACATTTTATAAAGCATTACATCGCATGAACACTGCAGGAGCCTCTGACTATACAATTATAACAGGAGATAACAAATAAACATGGTTAGTTCATGGTATGTAATCAATTTCAGATTATGTGATTATAAATAGCAAGTTTAGATCGCTTATCATAGTCTACTAGAGCGTACACATGTCCAAAAATTAGCTCTGACCATTTCCTATGGCGAAATAGTTCTCTTCTTCCTTATATATAAATAAAGAGTAAGAGGGAAAGCAGGATCCCTTCAAAGAAACAAAGTTCCGCTGTTGGAGCAAGACAGACTGAAAGAACCTAGAGAATTGCATGTGACAGTCAGCATCAGAATGCCTTGGTTACAAATGGAATTTAAGACCTGGAAGACTGAAAATATGGAATGAGGACATCACAGCAACGATCTAGCTCAAGAAAGATGCATACCAGAGACATTTGAATAAAAAAGAAACCAGATGGCTACAAGAGTACACAAAATTTAGAGCTAAAACATGCTCTTTCGAAACAACCCACAAGGAAGGTTGGGAGATCTGGAAAAGGTTAGAGCATGATATCACTGGTGCTCAAAGAATTGGCTTTTAATTTTTCGACAATATGTCAAGAATGAACGAGCTAATGCACATGGTTTATCTCAGAACAAAAATGGGTTGAACATTATAGGAAACTTTTAATCTTAATGTTGGAAAACTAAAGGCAGAGAAAATGCCAAAAAATTAAGTGAAGACAATGAATGAGTTGGAATTAGCTCTACAGAAAGTGAAAAATAGAAAATCCACAGCATTGGAAATCCAGAGACGTATCTATGGAATTATCGAAATATGCATTAAAAGAAATGAAAAGGTGCTTTAAAAAATTCTGTAACAATCTTTTTTTAGACTGAAAGAAAATTATCTGCAGATTGGAACGAAGTCTTTATACTTAGTATACATTAAGTGGTCAAAAGAAGACTAATAGTTATCATGGAATCTCGTTATTGACAACAGCTTTTTGTATACCACAATTTTAAAATACAAACTTAACAAGAAGATGGAGTACATTCTTCAGAAAGAAGTCTATGGTTTCAGGATAGGAAGAAGCAGTAATGGAATTTCACTCAAACACATATTAGAGAAACACAGAGAATACATCTGCCTACGTACACACTGTTCACGCATTTTAGCAAAGCTTGACAGTGTGGACAGATGAAAATTATGAGTGTTTTAGAAGAGCTGTAATGTTTCAGGAAACTTCATACATGCAGTTAAAAGCGTGTACCAGAATACCGAAATTTGTATTAAGGTGAATGATAGCAAAACATCCGATCTTATAAAAGTCAACGAAGAATTCAGGCAAGACTATTGTTTATCACAACACATACAGGAACACATATTGCAACACATACAGGAACAAAATTATGCATTTAAGAATTACCCACAAATCCAAGAGGTATACAAATAAAGACAAATTTTAAAAAATTATGCATCTGACTGAAGCACATGATCAAGTTGTTTTTGCTGCGTTGGAAGACGATATCCAAAGAAATATATCATGCCTCAATGGAGTGCTACAGTACTGTGAAGAATATGTAGTCAAAAACGAAGGCTGAGTATGAGAAGAATAAAAATTGTTATTAACAACCAAATTGTTGAACAAGTGCCCAACTTCACTTACATTTGCTGGAAAATAACGTGGACACTAAGGAAAAATGACAAATGAAGATTAGGGGCTTCCCAAATAAATATCTAAATAGCTCTACTGGGTCTAACCTTGGCGAATAAGAGCTCCAAACAAAGACATAAAGTCAGGTTCCTAACCCTTGTCAAGGAAGAAGATAAAGAGCTACTTTTCGCAAAAATGTGAATTAGGTCAATATCATTTTCTATGCTCATGCTCTATACTCTTCTTCAGCACAAGAAAAAATGTTAACATTTTCTCCAATTCATGGC